TTTTTTGTTCCAGGATTTTTGTCAGTATAACGAGATGTCGTTATATAGCAGTGTCGTTATATCGAGACGCACTTGTACCATTCATTAAGTCACATGATTATCAGGGGCGATTAACTAGTGCGGTTTCCCAACAATAAAAATAGATTGCCTTTTTTTTAAAGCTTTATAGTCTAATCATCTACCGTGCTATAAAAATACTAAGCCAAGCCTTTTTTTTCTTTGTCATTTATTATTGTGTAGAGCTGTGTGTGATGTCCTCTAGAAGAGAGTTTTACGTTTAGATTGTGAATATGAAAGAATTGCTCGGCGCGAGTTAGTAAAGAGCAATTCGATGTCCTACCAAATATGGTAAGGCGACGCGTGATACTATAACAATCGCGTTTCGTATTTACATCAACTTCTTATCTTTATTATCAGAAAGATACTTTCCTGTTTGGACGGCGTTGGTCGGAACTATGACGACTCCGCGCACCCGCAAACCTCTTCAAAAAGAATATCCTTCCGCCACCTCTACTAAAACTCGTGTAGATACCGATGCTATTATAACACCCCACCGTTCTAAATCTGCTCGCCCCTTAGCCAGTGAATTGAGTCAAACTCCTGGCTCTCGCTCTCGACCTTTGATAGAGAAAACGAACACAGCTGACTCTGGAAAGAAGAATGACTCTAGGAAAAGACGGTCTTCGAGGGGAAAGTTTACACTTGCTGATGAATTGTCTTTAGCCGAGGAAAGAAGCGATGCCAAAAGACGGAAGACGTATGCTCTAGGAGCTGAGGACGAAAATGAAGAAGACAATCTACACGCCAGTCATTTTAATCTTGATCTATTAAGAGAGAAGACGATAGAACAACAGGAGGCTCTCGATCACAAAAAGCAGGAAATTATAAAATATACTAAGATGATTGAGTCATTACAGGCTGAGAAAGAAAAGCTTACTATTGCAGTAAAAAGGATTAAACAAGAATTTGATAAGATGAAATGTGTGTATCCAGTATATTCTATCGGTAAATGATATTGAATGTTTCTCATGACACACAACTACTTATTTTGCGTGTTAATAGACAGGGCGTCAGCATATAAAGACGGCCTCCAGGGACATATGTACAACGATAATGCATCCTCCATTACTCAATTGTTAAAGGCTGTGGAGAAGTGTTGCGGGAGTTCAGTGAGGGATTTGTTGATAGAAGAAAAGATTCCAATTGAGAAAGTTGAAACAGTATATGATTGGCTAGAGGAAAAGGGTAGATAGAAAAGGCTTTCGATTATATTTGTAATGCTAATTTACGTCTTGGTTTGTATTCTTCTTTAATAATGTCTAACTAATCCTTCTTCCATCAAAGGATTCTTAAACGAATATATGCTCAGTGAATTTCGAGTGGCTGAATGCGTGACAACAATGGATTTGAGCCATACGTTTAACAACATAGTGAAAGAAAACGAACTTACTCTTCGCATGACTCAGCCCAGCTACACACTGTATGATCTTGAGAATCGAAACCGTTATAGTGCAGCTGCGGTAGTGTCAGTGCTTGCTCGACCCAACAGCTTTTCTGATTTACGGGTTTTGCGGCTCAGTGGAGCGTTAATTGATGCCCGATACCTGAGTGTCTTGAGAGATTTGGTATCATTGGAGGAATTATACATTGATCGGACTGGAATGATAGACGAAGGAATGGCACATTTAGTCATTCTTAAGAAGTCGCTGAAAGTACTGGACATATCAAAGAATCAATTTATTACCGATCGTTCTTTCGATAATTTGATATATTTGAGTGAGCTTGAGGTATTACATCTGGATGAGACAGGAGTGACGTTAGATGGACTGCGAAAGTTCGTGAGAGATTCCTACAGTCAGAACCTAACTCAGTTGACTATTCATCGTGATTTGAGAAGTGCATTGCGGAGACGGGGGGAATTGTATTGCATTCCATCACAGCCTAATATGATTGAAGACCCAGAAATAACCTTTAATATGAGCATTTATCAGTTACGTAGACAGCTTTCATTCCACGCGAAAATCAATTCCAAGATATTGATGGTTGGGACACGGGAGCAACTGGCCAAACAATTGCACGACATATTAGAACGAAGAAATCAAGATAATCATATTTGGACACTCTGTGGCGGTCGTTGAGAGAGATTTTGCTGGTCAACCGATTATGAATAAATCTTATTGTTTGCATATATAATTATATTGTTATTGAATTTAATGAGTGCCAAATTAATAGTTACACAGCAAAGAATGAAGGCAAATAAGAAAAAAATGTAATATCTACACATTCCAAACATCTTTGTCATCAAAAAAGTAACATAGAGTGATAATTGTTATATTACATAAGATAGAATTGCAACAAATTCCTTTCCAACCTCTCTTCACTAACGATTATAATTATATGATTGTAGTCATCATCAGTACTACATCTTAACGTATGCTTACTCCGAGTCTACCCAACGACTGGCTATAGGACCAAAGAACGGAAATAAATATCTTTCCAGGCTAGCTCCATCAATGTATGCACGATATCTAATAAAATAGAGACGACAGTGATTAGAAAAGATTCATCCTAACGCCGATACAATAAAAGGGTAGCATACTCACGATAAATAACCGATAAGGCCTACTTCGATGAATAGAAGCATCCAACTGATGAAGGATGAAAGAAACAAAAAGATTAAATGGGCAAACTTGCAAAAAAAGCTGTCAGTTAGTCAGGCTGTCAGGAAGAATGGTCAACAGTAAGTGCAACTACACTACTCACAAAGACCGTAGCAAAAAGAAGAGACGACTATAAAGTGAATCAAACGAATTTACAGATTAGTCATAGCATCTATTAGTATTTCTGATGAATTTAATACTCTACCTCAAATGACTTACCTGCCACGCATGAAATCGCACATAGTCATTCTTTGTTTCCATAATCAAGAACAATACACCTGATTAAAGGAACAACATAACAAAAAAATAAGCAAATTCAAAAATAACAAAGTACCTTTAGTCATACTCTGTGGCATTATTAGATCCAGGTTGCGTGTCCATACTCACCGGTCACACATCCCAATAGGTAAGCACATGCTGCTTCCACATCAACTCTAAAAGTAAATCAAATATAAATACTGTGCCATACAGCTCACTCCCAACAAAAAAACCTTGTCTTTTTTATCAATCTATCCTTACTATCGACTAGGGAGTTCACAGTTCGCACTAATACAACGACATTTCATCCTTACCTTAGTCCTAATGTAGTTTCATATTTGTTAACTTTAATTGTTCCCTCTGGAAGACCGTGTGTTGTCTGATATACTCCGGCAAAAGGGTTACTGCTTTGCACACTTGCTGAAGTAGACGCAGCTGCGGAGCTGTGAGGGATAGGAGCGTAGCGGACAGACGCCCGTTGTGATTTTGGAGTTTCGTCAGGTGGTGGTGTATACGGAGCAAAAGTACCTGGGTTCTGATAAGACATATTTGAGGGAGTTTGATGTGAACAGAAAGCTGTCAATGTCCGATCTAATAATGACGTACATAGTCCCCCTCGTATTACTATGATCGGCAATATTAGATAATCGACTACCCGTCTGGTGTGGGTAATAAATATACCTAGTCCTTTCTTCCTTTCTTCAATTCTCACAAATTTAAAATTTAACAAAATCTGTTCGTCGTTTTGATTGTTAAGCTTTATGAAAATTAATCGCATTCAAGTAAAACCTTAGGTTTGAATGAAGTATTAAGGGATATTATTTAACAGTTTATTATTGAATGAAATTTTTCCCACGATCCATTAATATTATTATTATTGTGTTTTGACTTATTTTTTGAACTTCAATAAACCAATTGACATTGAAGAATTATAACGCATTTACAGTCAATGATTCAACATCACAAACACAATTCCTCGAACGCCTTCTATCTCTCCGTAGCACAGTCCCCCAAATTCATAGATAACCCCGACCTCATGGACGTCTTTTACAGGATATGTAAATAGGGTCTTAGCGAACGCCTTGCTGTTCCTCGTGATCTACAGTCAATATAACATTCCCATAAGACAAAGTTCAATTCTTTTAAGTTTTAATATTAACATCCATACCAAAGAGAAAAGGAAGTGATGATATATCGACATGACACACTCTCAATTACGTACATTGAATCTTTTCTATTGGCTACAGACGAATTTCCTCAATTAATGATAATGGGTTTCATAAAAAAATTAGTATGAAATGCGTTCACCGGTTTACTTTCTATGACAAGCTTACCTCTATCGTGCTAATCCAATTATAATTAGGGTTGATCATCCACAAAACGCGCAAATAACTAGTATTTTGTTTTCTACCATTCTTTTAACGATACTCTAAAAGTTTTCTATTGGATTTAGATCAGGGCCTGTTAGAAGGCCAGTCTCTAACTTCAGGCATGTTATTCCGAAAAAGGCTTTCGCGAAGAGTTAGTATGTTTTGGGTCATTGTCATGTTAAAACCAGCCATTCGTCTCACAACAAGTCTTCACATTTCTGGTAATCTCTCCGTAACATATCTATATAAAAAAATCGGTTTATCCAATATTTGGGGGGAAAATTTTAACAGTTTCCTATAACTTGAGTTTTTAATGTTACTATAAATCATACTGTGGAATAACTTTGCGTTTATGAATTTCCACACCATTCCTAATGTCTTAATTTCACAATTATTGTATAACTTGGCGATTGTCTCCTGTCTGGATGCCATTGATCTGGTTGATGTTTTCTCGAAGAAATTTTTGGACATATTAAAAGAATTTAAGAAACGATGTTAGTGCAAAATACTTATAAACGAGTAGTTTAAATAAAATCAGTCAACTCTCTTTATAACGACCTTCTTTATACCGACTGGTGCCCCACAATGACCACATGTGCTTTGCCACTTCAATCACTATTAGGTCAATCAATTAATAAATATATTTGTGAACCTTTCGGTAGTACAGTCGATAATAATTTTTATATATGGGTCTCGTATATTCTTCACAATGAAGCGGACAAGAAAGCAGCTAACGGGTGCGCAAAAAGGACATGCCTTTTCTCTCAAATGATGATTTAGCTAAAGAATTTGGTATTGGTAAGTCAACTGTTCAGGGCCTTTTAGTAAAGTCAAGTAAAAATGAAGCAAGTAGGAGGGAATGCAAAGGAGAGAACGTCCTAATCGCTAGAGGATGCGTTATGGTCTTTTTTATGCTGAGCGTATGGGTTTTGTGGATTTTAAGGGTCGTGATGGGTGGCTTACTGGTTTCAAAAGACGTTGTAAACTAGTACAGGTCGTTAAGCCTGGGGAAGCAGCAAGTGCACCCAATCAAGAATTGGTGGATGAAGAAAGGTTATCCATTCAAGAAGAACTGACTCGGTGGAAATTAGATGACATATTCAATGCCGACGAGACAGGCCCTTTTTGGGCCATGGAACCATCACAGATCGCAAATTGAGTGGACATAAAGCAATAAGTCGAGAGTTACAGTTCTATTGATTACAAATGTAAATGGTTCAGAAAAATTGCGCTCAGTTGTCATTCATAAGTATCAAACATCTAGACCTCTTCGTAATATTAATAAAAGTAATTTACCAGTCGACTATTACTGGAATGGTAAAGCATACATGCAGGTAAGTGTGCACTTTGTTATAATAACAAACTTATACTAATCACTGACAAATCTCAAATATGACATCAGTAATCCAGCAAGTTTCGAAGAAAACTATTCATTCAACAACGTATCAACTTCTTGACACCACCTTTGAAAATGATACAGATAATGTTCTTGAGTACATGCCATATACCGTATACTACCGTGAATAAGCACCCGCAGCGAGGGGTGCTTATTCACGATAGGATCGTCAACTATCGACATTATTAAAATGATCGGTAAACCATTACGCGTTGAGGGGTAGCTTACAGCAGTAATTCAGTAACCAGAAGCGTACTATTATTTTGAAAAAGATTAATTGATTGGTAGAAGAAAAAGAATTAGATATTTTAACCAGCAAAAAATAACCGCTAAATTTCGTTATCGGCAACCAGAAATCCCAGTTAAAGTTTCTCCTACAGTAATCTTGGGGGGGGGGGGGTTTCCCGAGCAGATAAAGACCGTAGTTGCCAAAAATTATAAAACCACTTTTTAGTTTTATTTACTAGATTTTATACAAAATGCCTAAGTCTCGTGAAGGCTCTGATTTTGAACGCGGAATGATTATCGGACTTCACAAGGGCAACCACAACGCTACAGACATTCAAAAAATACTCGGAATACCCAGAACTACTTGCACTGATATCATTAACGATTTCGAAACGATGGGATGACTGAGTCTCTTCCTCGTTCAGGAAGACCACCTCTTTTGACTGACCGTGAAGAGTGAACTCTTGTGCGAGTAACCAAAGATAATAGGAAAGAATCGCTTGAAGAGATTACTGAGCTGTTCAACAGCCTAGGCCTTACTCAGGTTAGTACTCGTACTGCTAGACGTGTGCTTCATAACCATAACTTTTTTGGCCGTATTGGGAAGAGAAAAAAAACCCTTCGTTTTTGGAGAATAACAGAATAAAACGCTCAAGATGGTAAAGGTTGGGATGAACAATGGGATACAATCATTTGGAGCGATAAATCCCGGTTTCTTTTATTGACCTCATGAGAATATGATGTAGACTGTCTAGTGCCTACGGTAAAGAGTAATGGGGAAGGGGTAATGGTTTGGGCTGTTTTGTTAAAAAATCGACTTGGACCGTTAGTAAGTAGTGTTAGAAGGAAATATTACAGGCCAAGTCTATAAAAAGCTTTTAGAAGACCATTTAGTTCCTTTTATTGAAGCCTGGATGATGAAAAAACTTATGTCTTTCAAGATGATAATGCTCCTGTTCATAGAGCTAATTCAGGGTGCTTGCCTGGAAAGAGGAAAATTGATATCTTCTCTTCCATGGCCTGCTCAGAGCCTGATCTCAACCCAATTGAGCATTTGTGGGATCATCTTGGGAGAAAATTGTATGACCACAAACCCACACCAAAAAATAGTTTCCATTTTGAAGGAGGAGTGGTTGAAAATTGAGGAAAACGTTTAGAAAATTTAGTAAATAGCATGCCTCGAAGAGTTAAAGCTGTAATTGATAGCGGAGGAAATCCCACAATGTTAATAACAAACTTAATTTGAATGTTTGATAAAATTTTCGAAATAATGCCGATCATCAAAAGTGACGGATACTTTTGGCAGGTGCCTTTCTCATTCTTGGAAAAAATATTTCCAAAGAGTAGGGGAACATTTTTTTTTAGTCCAAAAACAAAGTCTTTTTCCTCCTTATCAGTTAAGATGGGAATACGATGGCAATTTCGCTGATATCACTGATAAGCGGCTAGGGGTGTAGTATAATATTGGATGAATGTTACACCGAATACTATCTAGACTGCTGGAGTTTTGCCATCATCGATTACCAATATTGAGGAAGCAAACCAAGAACGTCGAGCAGAATACACCGGATATAACGAAGGAGATCGTGCAGACACTTTTTCTTCGTTATATCCAGGAAACATTTAAAAAGCATCGCTATACCCAGGTTTTCGTTATATCCAGGTTCACTGTGTACCAGAAAGAATGTTTGACTATTCAACTGTTAATTAATGCTTAAACCTGACTGATTCACTTTCTGCAAATGGCAAGTAATTTCATTATTGTTTACCGTAATGAGTTATATAATTTCGTGCACCCCATGACGTAATGCATTTTAGCGGGTGGGCAAACTATTATGTAATAGTAATAGTATCGAATTATTGGGTAAGTTGAATTATTGTTATAGGGAGGCCAATTTTATTGTCCAGTTATAGTGATACTCAAAACACACTGTTAATCTAGCTAATTTATTTTTTCGGACATTTTAGGCTTGTAATGCCCATTCTCTCCACTATTACCACACTGGTTGACTGGTCTCAACTCTTCTGCTCGCTTGATTCGCTTAGAACTTTTCGGGCTTTGCGTTTTTCTTAAGTTCTGAATGAATCGATCAGTTGATGGGTCATTTCTTTGTCTTGTTTTCTCTCCATCGTTTTCATGCTCACGTAAAGCTCTTCGTGTAATATTTCCTTCTCTTCTTTCCTCTCGGGAGGATTGTATTGATATTGGGAATATCTTCATCAACTTTGTAGCAACATAATACAGAAAAGTAACTTATAACTCCATAATACAAAGATAGCGCTTGTTTCTAAGAATACAATGGATAATATCTCTCGGTCCACACTCGTAACGTACCGATTGTTTGCGACTTGAATCAATGTAAGAATATTCGATTCGAACAACCTACGCGTAAGCAAGCACACAATAATAAATGTCAAGAATATTATACTGGCAGGCGGACGAATCCGTTATATCTTATACTCGAAAGGGAAAAAGAGCAGCCAGCATCGTGCACGGCACGAATTTTCACGTTTAGAATATATATCAATTAATGATTACACATTAACGGATGA